GGCAGAAGGGTTGGGAGGGCGGCGGGGGGGATTCGTTTGGGGTAGAGGCGGTGCCCGAGGCCGGGTGGGGTACCCAGCGGGAACCAGGCTCCTGGTCACGAGTTTTTCTGCCACAGGATCCTCATATCCTGCCAGGTTTGCTCAGGACTCCGCCTCTGAGGCTTTCACTTGGGCCTTTTTCTTCTAGCAGCTCGTTTTCATTAAAAAACGAGGAGCCCCCCCCCAACCTAGTTCCATCTACATCCCTACCCAACCGTATCTTGCCGGGCTTGGGTAGTACCGAGGCTGAAGAAGGGATTAAACAAATGTTTGATTGGATGGGGAAAAGGGAATTTCTTGACCCTTCTTGTCACTAAGGATCGCTACTGTCTTTACTCAGACGATGCTTTTTTCCGTGTTAAAATGCAAGGAGTTTTTCGCATTTTTAGAATGGAGGTCGATCTCTTAAACTCTTAATTGTAATAAACATTAAATTGGAGGTAAAAACATGCAAGGAACAATATTTGAGAAATAAGTTTAAAAGTTCATAATCTCGCGGATTTTAAAAATTTAAGTCCTTTATAAATTGAGAAAGGGAATGGTAAGAATGTCAATACAGTTATTGAGAGCTGGAGAAAGACTGCATTTCTTTGTAGATTTAATGTAACTTGAAGATTGTAATTCGAATGTCATTTTTCATTTTGAGGTGTGGTATGCAATCGTGAGCACATGGGTTAAGTGTTTAATCATAAGGATTGGAGCAGCTTTAACTGTTAACACTAGGTCATTATAACATTTTTCAAGAACATGAGATGTTACCTTAATGCTTGCTTGGAATATAAAGCAATAGTATTGTTTAGGTTTGAAAAATTGTGTTAAGTTAATGTTTCCCTACAGGACTCCTTCCTCTACGTATTGCACCAGCATTCAAAGTGGGATCCCTCAAAATGTCTTATCCTGGAGTAAAGAAGGGAACTAGGTTTAGCAATTTTTAGAGAATGTAAACAATTTGGGGTTAGTAGTTTGTATGTGCCCTGGTCACATAGTACTGTTGCTTCAAAGTGTACAATGCTAGTAACTAAAAGGACTGTTTTTGGAATATATTAATTATACTATGTTAAGATGGGCTTTTATGACCCATTACCCACAAACCTGTAAGAAGGAGCTGTTTTTCTTTCTCCAGAAGAGGGCGCAAGAGAAGATCAAGAGTTTTGAAAATTTTCAGTTTCTAATCCAAAAGCTAGATTTGTCAGGACTTTTAAGTTTTGCTGAGTCCATTTGAAGTAAGGATAGCAAGACAGCCCTAAATAGCAAAACCAATAGGAGTCCTTGAATTTCAATAATTATCTATTTACATTTTTCTTAAGTTCTAAACTTTAGGAAACAATTCTCTGGCATTTTACAAAGTTGTAATGGGGGAAAATAGGTAGTTAAATGAGAAATTTGTTACAAACATGATAGGAATACAGTAGCTTTTTTGTTGTTGTTTGCTTGTTTTTTGGTACCTAAGATGGAACTCGGGACCTTGTACTTAACAAAGCAGGCGATTTGCCACTGGAGCCAAATCCCGGCCCTATGGTGGCTTTTGAACTTTTGTGTATGTGATTGCTCACCTTTTGAGATGTGAAATGCGACATAACAGTCCTGGTCTGGAGGGCATAAACATCTATTTAATTTGTTAACTTATTATCATGTTAAGTGGAGTTGGTAAAGGGTAAATTTACATCTGTGAAAAATGTTGAATCGCCATTTAGGATTTTTCTGCTTTTCTAAAGAATTCTTTACCAAGACTCAAAACAGTGGTCTTCCCCTTACTGTTTCATAGTTAGGGTTGTACTGTATACTGTACTTAAATTTTTCCTGCCTCAGCCATCCAGTGTTGCTGGATTTACAGGCATGTGTCACCACACCTGCTTATAGTTAAGATTTTTCCACCAAAATTTTTATTTGATCAGCTATCATATAACTTATTCAGTAGCCAAAACCAAACCATGTAATGCTATAGAATTTTACCCACTTTGTGCCTGTTTTTGAAATGATTATGTATTGGGTATGTTTTATGTATATATTATATATATAAGAAGAAAATGTCTTTATTCATTTTGAATGTTTCTTTGATGTAAAATGAGTGACTTAAATTTTAGTAAATACTGTTGTGAATCTTCTCAGGCTGTTCCACATGAAGTTATTTTAGAACAGTTCTCAACATGTAAAGCAAAAAACAACCTCAATATCCTTACTATTACTGCTGTTAAAATTAAGGACTTGTGCAGGGCTGATGGCCCACACTAGTAATCCCAGCCTGAGGCCCCGAGGGTTGCCCTAAATTCAAGACCAGCCTGCACTGTACAGCAAGACCTGTCTCAAGCTAAAAACCTCTAAAGAGCTTTTGATGGGGGTTCTATTGGTTGATATTTACCATATAGAAAATTAAAATTGAGAAAATTCTTTTTAAATATACAAACTCACATGTCTTAGCTTTCACAGACCAAATGCTTTAAAAGCATGAATGAAAGTGTTAAATGTGAATACTTGAGTATTTTAATCCATGTACCATGAAAAACTGCCTTAAATGAATGTATACATATTGGGCATCTGTTTGTAATGGCTAGACCACAGGATGCTTTGTGAACTTTAATAGAAAGGTAGATAATAACACATTTTACTAGTAAGGGAATAGGGAAAGTTGTGACTCAATCAAATCACCTGTGGTAATAGTTAATTTATGTTTTTAGTGGCTTAAGTCTGATTTTATCTGAATACCATACACTTTAAAATAAAATTCCTTTCTTTGGAGTTGTGTTAATGTGTATTTTCTCACTGCATTTTGTGAGTTAGGTAGTGTTGATGATAAAGAAACATTGGGTCCCAGATAGCCTGAAGTTCAAATTTCCAGTTCTTCCACTTTGTGACCTGGGCTAAGTTACTTTATCCCTCTGAGAGTCATTCTACCCAAATGTAGAATGAAGAAAACTTTTTTTTTACTTTATTTTATTTTACTTTATGCACTGCTGGGCAACAAATCCAGGGCCTCTTGGCATGCTAGGTAAGAAGTACTGCACCAACTGAGCTACGTGCCCAATCCTGAGACATAGCTTTTTTTTCTTTCCCATTTCTTAACATAGTAGGAAAATCCTGTACCATTGAGCTATGCCAACTCTTAACCTTTTACTGTTTCTGTATAAATACATTTGGTTTATGCCTAAAGGGTAGTTCTGTAAACTGTAAAGAAAATTTTATAATAGCCTTGAAGGAATGGTGGGTAGATTGATTCTGTTGAGCAGTATTAAGGTTTACTGATTAAAGGTCTTGGTCTCTGATCTCAGACACTGATTTGAATCGTGACTCAGTTCCACCTTTTACTTGGCAGTAGTAGGTTCCATTTTCTAATATGTAAAATGTTAGGTATAAAATGATACCAAAACTACAGCTCAGTATAGTGTCATATAGTAAATAGTCTTTAAATATTAGGTACTATTATAATTTAAATGCTGTAATTTTAAAGTCTTTTATTTTTTTCTTCCTCTCCCTCAGGCTATGGTGAAATAAATGGTAATGCTGGAGAAAGAGAAATATCTTTAAAGAACTTGGGTTCTGATGAAGCTACCAACCCTATTTCCAGGGTCCTTAATGGCAACCAGCAAGTTGTAGATAATAGTCTGAAGCAGACTGTGAAGGCTGGCACCTTTGGGAAGACAGGAATTAAAACCAAGAATTTCATTCAGAAAAACAGTATGGACAAAAAGAATGGAAAGTCTTATGAAAAATCTGGAGAAAACCAGTCTGTAGATAAAACCGATACTGTAGCAATTCCAAATGGTGTTGTAACAAATAATTCAGGCTATATTACTAATGGTTATATGAGCAAGGGCACAGATAATGATGGTAGTGGATCAGAAAGTGGATATACTACCCCTAAAAAAAGGAAAGCTAGGCGCAATAGTGCTAAGGGTTGTGAAAACCTTAATTTAGTCCAGGATAAAATAATGCAACAAGAGACTAGTGTCCCACCCTTAAAACAGGGACTTGAAAGTTTCAAGCCTGATTATAGTGAGAAAAAGGGAAATCGAGTAGATGGTTCAAAGCCCATTTGGAAGTATGAAACTGGACCTGGAGGAACAACTCGAGGAAAACCTGCTATGGGTGATGTGCTTCGTAAAAGCTCAGATATTAAGTCTGGTGTGAACAGCAAATGGAGGAACATCGAGGAAAACCTGCTATGGGTGATGTGCTTCGTAAAAGCTCAGATATTAAGTCTGGTGTGAACAGCAAGAAGTTTGATGATCGGCCCAAAGGAAAGCATGCCTCAGCTGTTGCCTCCAAAGAGGACTCGTGGACCCTATTTAAACCACCTCCCGTTTTTCCAGTGGACAATAGCAGTGCTAAAATAGTTCCTAAAATAAGTTATGCAAGCAAAGTTAAGGAAAACCTCAACAAAACTATACAGAACTCTACTGTGTCACCATCTTCATCTTCATCCTCTTCATCTTCTGCTGGGGAAACTCAGACCCAGTCTTCAAGTCGATTATCCCAGGTTCCTATGTCAGCGCTGAAATCTGTTACTTCTGCCAGCTTTTCTAATGGGCCTGTTTTAGCAGGGACTGATGCAAGTGTGTATCCTCCAGGGGGTCAGCCACTGCTAACTACTGCTGCTAATACGCTAACACCCATCTCTTCTGGAACTGATTCAGTTCTACAGGACATGAGTCTAACTTCAGCAGCTGTTGAACAAATTAAATCTAGCCTTTTTATCTACCCTTCCAATATGCAAAGTGTGCTGTTGAGTACAGCACAAGTGGATCTGCCCCCTCAGACAGATCAGCAAAACCTGGGGGATATCTTCCAGAATCAGTGGGGTTTATCGTTTATAAATGAGCCCAGTGCTGGCCCTGAGACTGTTACTGGGAAATCATCAGATCATAAAGTGATGGAGGTGACATTTCAAGGAGAATATCCTGCCACTTTGGTTTCACAGGGTGCTGAAATAATCCCCTCAGGAACTGAGCATCCTGTGTTTCCCAAGGCTTACGAGTTGGAGAAACGGACTAGTCCTCAAGTTCTGGGTAGCATTCTAAAACCTGGGACTACTAGTGAGAGTGGAGCCTTATCCTTGGAACCCAGTCATATAGGTGACCTGCAAAAAGCAGACACCAGTAGTCAAGGTGCTTTAGTGTTTCTCTCAAAGGACTATGAGATAGAAAATCAAAATCCTCTGGCATCTCCTACGAACACTTTGTTAGGCTCCGCCAAAGAACAGAGATACCAGAGAGGCCTAGAAAGGAGTGATAGCTGGGGTTCTTTTGACCCGAGGGCTGCTATTGTATATCACACTAAAGGTAACTCATTTCTTTCCTATACAAAGATTCTTACCAGTTTATATGTATTGGTGTTGGTAATGAGTACATTTTGAAAACTACTTAAGAGATTCTTTGAGATCTTCAGAGCTTAATTAAAAATTGTGGATAAGCATCTAGCATCAAACTCTTAATTCAGGATCTTTGGAAATAAATAGTATGGTTAAAATTTTAGAATGTTCACTTTCCAGCTTCAAAGTATTTTTGGGGTGGGGGCGACGGGATAGAACTAGGGACCTTGTGCTTGAGAGACAGGTGGTGGAACCACTCAGCTAAATTGCTGGCCCAACAGCATTTATTTTTTACAGACAGGTATAATTGACTTTCTCTCTGGTTCAAAGCATAGAGATACGGGGATAGGGAAGGGTCTTGCCTAAAAGGAAGATAATATATTTCATCTTGAATGCCTACAATAAGAGTTAAAAATATATTCAAATGGATATTTCCTCTCTGCTTTTTATATCACATGCTTCTTTCTTAGTGAAGCATTTAATAATTCATTGTGCTTAAAGTGAATAGGAACAGTTTTTGAGGAGGGCCCAAAAAGGTCCAATTACTATATAAGAAGGAATAAAGATGCTCAATGGTAACTAGAAAGTAATATAGGCAAACTATAGTGGCAAGCACATTTATTCATCAGTGTTATAGAGAGCAGGCTCTTTGAACTCAAGCCCCCTGCAAAAGGGATCCTATATGCTGAATACAGTGGTGAGCACTTAGAAGGCTGAGGCAAGAAGATTGCTTTATCTTAGGAGTTAGAGACCAGTCTGGAGAGCATATCAAGACTAATTAGAAGGGGAAAAAAGTCAAGTTTCATGCTAATAACTTAGCTTATGATGTGACCTATAAAAAACTTGGTGAACGGCATAACTAATTTAAACCCTTAAGAGGAAATAATAAGGTTAAGTGAATGATTCTGCTTTTGAGAACAGTGGTTTTCAATCTTGACTTCCACCTCATCTGTCCTTCCTAACAGCAGCACCCCTCTAGTCAGTGACTTGTAACTGCATGAGCTGGGAACATACCAGATTGTAGGGATGAGGTAATTGCTGTTTTCTCCTTGGACAAGATCATTGCTTCAGAGATGAATAGCAAAGCTGTTTGTGACTTTTAAGCAAATTACCTAGTTTTCATACTGAGTATAAAAAGCATGTTTTTGTGTATTTTTCCCCCCTTTTAAAAATGGGAATAAATAGGATCTATTTATGGAATAAAGTTTACCTGTCTTTACTTGGAAGTAAATGGGAGCTAACACAGGAACTGGATGTTTTTAGGAAAGCAGGGCCAAAAAGATTTTAGTGTCTTAAGGATGTGTTTAATTACATGTAAGTTATATTCTACCAGGAGAGTTGAAAGTGTCTTGTACTTTTGTCATTGTGTGTGCCTGAGGATATCTCAGTGTGTGTATATTCTTCTACCATCTCTAAAAAAATTGTGAGACAATATTCCCTTAGGTGGTGATACATGATTTGATTTATTTACTTGTTTTTTGTTGTTTGTTGTTGTTTTTTTGTTTGTTTTTGTACTGGGGATCAAACTTGGGACCTTGTGCTTGTAAGGCAGGCAGTGGAACCAATGAGCCAAATCCCCGGCCCCTTGTGATTTTATTTCTTAAAAGAGATGAGAGCCTTACTGCTTTGTCCAAGTCAGCCCCGAATGATTTTTTATGTAAATTTGAAGACCTTTTAAAATAGGAGTACAGTATTGACTTGTATTTGTTTCTAGTTACTCTATGCGTTTTCCTTGTAGATGAACAAAGTAAGTATGAAGTTAATGGTAGAAGTAAACGAATGTTGATTTTGTGGTGTCACTGAAGTTTTGTTCTGTTTTAATTTAGCACAGAGTTTTGTAGTTGGGTAGTATTGAATGAATCAATTGGTATGATTGGTATTTGCACCCTAAAACAATATTTAGCTTAACTAGATTTCCATAGAGCAAGATCTTTGAATTTCTGCCAAATGTTGATCCACTCACTTTCTACTAGGTGAACTTTTTTCTTTTAGAGAGTTTCTTAAACCTTAAAAGAGGTAATAATCAGTTGGATTTACTGGAGTATTAAAACCACCTGTATTTTCTTAGTGGCGTGGTTGGTTTGTTTGGTACCTAGGATCAAACTTGGGACCTGTGCTGGTGAAGCAGGCAGCAACACCTGTGAGCTAAATCCCCAGCCCCTGTATTTTCTTTGTTTAATTTTCCTTCCTGGGTGTCCAACTTTTGGCTGCCTTGGCCACAATGAGTGAAGAGGAGTTGTCTAGTTACATATAAAATATATAATACAGTTAATTTCTATAAGCAACAACTATTCAGAAAAAATTTAAATAAAAATAAGCATAATCTTGGGGGTGCAGGAAGCAGAATAGCCTTTTTTCTACCCAGTATTCTATTGTCACCTGTGCAGCTGCCCTTGAGCGCTTGCAATTAAGTCATGAAAAATATTGCTTAAAATCATAAAATATTAAAAGTCCCATCTTGTAGGGTCACATTACTAGCTATTGAGGGAATGCCTGAGTAGTCACTTTTCAGTGTTCAGAAGTAATTTACTGAGTTGAAGCTTAGAACTGGAAGTTCTGGGCTGGGAATTTAGCACAGTTGGTGCTGCCACCTGCCTTGCAAGTGCAAGGACCTAAGTTTGATCCCTGAAACAAACAAAAAAAAAGAACTGGAAGCTGTATGTATCTAACTTTGAAAATGGAATCCTTAGCTCAATGTGGTACTGCAGTCAATTCCAAGTACTGAAAAAAACAAAAAAACTGGCCCTTCAGCAATTTGGAAGTAGTAGATTGTGTTTTGTCACTTCAGTAAGAATAGTGGTGCTTTTTTTTATGGGTTAGTATTAGTTACTTTTGCAGTCTTAAGTACTGTACATTTTTAAAAATCTAAATACTCAATATGAAAAGAAGATACAATGAAGCATGAAGGGACTGCCAGAGATTCTAGTTGCTGGAATTTTCTTCTAGTTTTTTTATGTAGATTATGCTGCAAATTTTCCTGAAGAAATGACTGTTGGGGGTGAAGGGGCTCAGTGGGAGAGTACTTGCCTAGCGTTAGAAGGCCCTCCTTTCTATCCACAACATTGCCAAAAAAAAGAAAAGGAAAGAAAGAAAACATTTTAAAGATGTGTTTTTTGTGTTGCCTAGGTGTGTCTTGAACTCCTGGGCTCAAACGATCCTGCTTTAGCTTGGCTGGGACTACACGGATAGGCTGTACTTGAATACTTAATCATCAGGCAGGCATAGAGGTGTATGCCTGTATCCCCCACCACTCAGGAGTTTGAAGTCGGGACCATTGTGAATGCAAACTCAGCCTCAACTACATAGCAAAATCCTGTCTCAAAAAAACAAAACATCTTTTTTTTTTTTTTTTTTTTTTTTAATCCCACCTTTATAGATAGGGTTTTGGGTAGGAGAGCAGCAGTCCTTTTTGGGATTTTTTTGTTTGTTTGTTTTGTTTTTTGGTACCAGGGATTGAACGTAAGATCTTGCACTTGCAAGGCAGATGGCAGTACCACTGAGCTAAATCCCTGGCCCTTTTTGTTTTGTTTTAATTGTGGTTAAATGCTTATAAATACGTTGTCTTAGCCATTTGTAAGTGTAGAGTTCAGTTATCTTGGTCATTTTTTTATCACTGCCCCTCGCCCCTCACCCCTTCTCCCCTCTATTTTGGTGCTGAGGATTGAACCCAAGGCCTTCTATATGCTAAGCACATAATCCCATCACTCAACTACACTTGGAGTCCCTATTATTTGTCTTTTAGTGACTGACTACTTAGTGACTATAAGCAAAACATCCTGAAAGTTCATTCCTGTTGATAGCATATGGCAGAATTTAATTCCTTTTAAAAGCTGAATAATATTTTGTTTGTGTATATATCACATTTATCCATTTTAGCTATTGTTAGTACAGAAATGCTGCTGTGAGCATGGGTGTAGAAATAATACTTCGATTATTTGGGGGTTTATGCCCAACAGAATTACCAATAAGAGGGTAATTCTATTTTTGAAGAATCATACTGTTTTACACAGCAGCTATTTTTACATTGTGCCACCAACTGTGTTCAAGAGTTTCCATTTCTCAGCCTCCAGAGTAGCTGGGATTACAGATAAGGTGCATGTCATCAATTCTGGTCCTGGCTATATTTTTGTTCTTGAGATCTAGGGGCTCTCTGTATCTTCTGGGCTTTCTGTTTTCAGATAGGATTTCTAAATATTTTCTCACATTCTGCAGATTGTTATTTTTCTTTCCCTCCCAGTGGTGGGGATTAGACCCAGGGCTTTCATAAAGAGCAACATCCCAGCCTGTTTTTTATTTTGAAACCATGTCTTGCTAAGTTGTCTAGGCTAGGCTCAAACTTGTGAATCTCGTACCAAGTTGACAGTGTCTAGTGCACATCATTTAAAAATTCTCAGGAAGTCTGAGAATCTGGTTTTTCTTTTGTTGCTTGTGCTTTGGTGTTCTTGAAATCACAGTATCATAATATTTTACCAGTCCATACTTGCAATTGTTTTTGGTGCTGGGAATTGCTCACAGTGGCTTGCACAGGCTAAACAGATGCTCTACCACTGAGCTAAACCCCCCCGCTCTACATTTTTTAGTGAATTGGGGTGATAGCTCTTACTACACATACCCAGGACATGTAATTATTGCCTCTTTAAAGTGTTCAGCATACATATTTGAGTAAAATCCTCTTTGAATTTTCTTCAAAGGCTTCTAACTCTAGATCCTAGCTTTTGGAGGTGAACCTTTAATTTTGAAATTGTCTGGAACACTAGTATTTGAAACATCCTATGAAAAGAATAGATTGATGTGAGTTGTGTGTTTGGTTGAAATGCTCTTTTTTTGTACCAGGGATCAAACTCAGGACCTTGTGCTTGTGAGGGCAGGCCCCGTGCCACTGAGCTAAGTCCTGGGCCCAAAATGCTTGTTTTAAATTGAGTTGGTATATCTTGCCCAGATAATTTTGCCCTGAAGCACATCAAGGACTCA